CGATATAGCGCGTGTCGTCGCAGGAGCTCCGTCACCGTAATGGCCACTTGAACTGTGCCCTTGCCCTCTAATACATCGGCCGCGCAGCACATGAGTTTCTGGAACAGAACAAGTGACTCAATACAAGAAATAAATAATTATTAAAATAAAACTTACTTACGCTTTAACTAACTTGCTTACTTTAAGTACGCTCAGATCTTTTAAACTACGTAAAAGATTTTGATGGGGTTTTCGTCAATAGACATAATTCCCCGCGACTTCGTTCACGTGTTAGGGTTTTTATGTTACTGCGCGGAACCCTAATTCTTTTTCTAATATAAATAAAAGTAGCCTAAGTTACTCTTTATGAAATCAGCTATCTCCAATGAAAGTCCCGTCAAAATCGGTCCAGCCGTTTCGGAGATTAGCCGGAATAAAGAGACAAACAGACAGACAAAAATTTTAAAAATTGTATTTTAGTTATGAGTACCGTATTTACTTTCATATGCATTTAGTAAAAAACTGTAATTTTGACATTACAAACAGACATTTAAATTTTACTTATTTGTATAGATAATTCTTCTGTTCATGTGTAAGTAACTGAACTCCAACGAAACAGTTGAACCGATTTTGATGAAATGTTGTGTTTAAGTTGATTCGACGGTTTAGATTCACAATAAACTCGGTAGGTGGCGCTGTTGTCAAGATATAGAAATATCCCACTCGAAGCCAGGGCGGACCGATATGAGATTTCCACCTATGTATTGACTCGTCACGATATCTCTGGAATCATAAGACCTAGAGACTTGAAATTTGGTAGAACGGATTTTACGAAGTTTTTCCCGCAAGGGGGGTTGGAAGGGCGTTCATTTAAAAATACCACGTTTTCAAATTATAGCTCTTATAGGTATAAAAGTTAGCCAGAATATTCTTTTTGGCTTGTTTAAAATTACCAAGAACGGATTTTATGAAATTCCACCAGTTATACATTATATCCGCGGTAAATCATACTTTACAGAAAAAAAAATAGTAATAAATTATCACAGGCTGACATGTAACCTCTTATCTATTACGAGACTAACAAAATAAGGCGACAACTAGTTGGAATAAATCGTTTGACATATTGGATCGATAGGGGTTCCGGGAATTTTCAGCTTTGGAATTACCCTTGGTTACGATCATGACAATTTAATCATGATTGCCTCTGTAATTACATTGACACTATTATGAAAATCCACACGAAAAATAAAACACTATTTACATAGATAAGAATTTTATTTAAAAAGAGAAAAAACATTGTAAGTACATACATAAAAGTACATTCGTAAACCTGTTATCCGAAAAACACATATACACAATCATCAGAAATAAAAATACAAAAAAAAATACAATTAAAGTACACTTATGCACTATAACATAACAAATGCATTTTGAAAAATCCAAGACAAAAAATAATACTGAACTAAATTAAAAATTTCGCCTAAATCAACTACCGTATAATATCAGTATGTATCTTTAAATAGTTATTTAAATCAAATCGCCATATTCAGACGATGGTTTGATTTTAATGCACTATGAACTATGCAATGAATATAATATGACATATATTTATTTTACAAATATAATCTTAAAGTCTATTAAGTGTAACACAATTCATTTGAACATAAATTTAATTGTTAAATTTTAATGGAAGCATACAGTCCATTACATCATTTTAGTATTTCTCGTTCTTACGTCATATATACTTAATAACAAAAGAACTTTACAAAAAAATAATAGTAGGACTTATTACACAGGAAGTATATTAATTTCATTTAATTCGTGAATATTCATAAAAATAAGCACACTTAAAAGTGGTAATTTTGTTTGCCGTAAAAATACGTAAGTGCATAACCGTAAAAAATAATACATATTGCAAATAAAAAATAGTGCATTAAAATCACATCGTAAACTAATTCAGAACCCAAGCACCACAAGCAATTAATTAAATATATTCTATGTAAGCATAAATCATATATATTAAACATTTCTTTATATTCTTATATATTAGCATTGTACTTGAAAATTTAAAGCTCAAAATAACGTTAATATTATGAAGCAAACTAGATAAGAAGATCAAATGCGTTTTAAACGGACATAATATTTTAAAAATAATAATGTTGGAAAATTTACATTTTCATCATTAATATTTTCAAACATTAGAAATTAGTGTGTATAATAATAAAGTACATAGTGCGCACACTATCGTACAGATTAGTACATGGCCAAAAAATATTTATAGACAATTAAAAGCTACTGCCGTGTGATAATAAGTAGAAACGCCGTGCTAAGTAAAAAGTAACTATTAGTAATACAGATTCAAAATATTACATTAAAGGTGTACACATTGGTGCAAATACATACTTTAATAAGATTATAATAACGTCTTTAAAATATTTAAAAAAAAGTCTTTGGAATGCTTACATTTGCGGAATGACCTAACTTGGCGAGTGTCTTATTATTCAATCAAAAGGCATATCAAAACTTGACAAAATCTGGGAATACGGTTCGATTCATTTTATAATTAATATTCAATTCCATAAGCGTTTGTACACAATTTATCAGCATAACGACGTAAAAACAATGCTTTTATTAATTCTTAACTATGGCAAGAATATAAGCTATTTTTTTCACAATAGTACGTTCACAAAGTTACGTCACTCAACGATTGATTATTGTAAAATGTAAATGCAATATTATTATAAATCGTTATATAAACTGTCAAATATATACTGGTCGTGTTGGCATCGTTCGTTAATCGATTGGCTTCGTTAAGTACTTAATGTATACTAGATAATTTACAAACTATAAAATACGTGTCTTTTATATATAGTTCCAATTGTTAAATGGAAAAAAGCCTCAAAATACAGTCTAAATATGAATACTTGCTACTAGAGGTAAGGACTGATTGCAACCAGACACGACACATACCGTTTTGTTACAAGAGGTCGTTTATTGATAGTTTCGGGCCTGAAAAGTGGTTTAACAAGAGTACTAACTAAAGAAGTTAGTTAGCCGCGGAGCCACAGTCATCGCGATATTTGCCATTTGCTGTCGAACTGCACTCCTCAACTCTAGTTCCCATATAAATCTGAAACTAACTATAAACTACTTTATGTAATAAGCTAAAAGTCAGGTAATATTAAAAAGGACTCTCTCATCTCATCATTTAAAATACTCTTACATTAAAAGAGATATTTCATTATATCATAAGCAGTAGCTCACTGTTTTTAATTGGAACTTTTATATCTAAATCTTTTTTAGGATAATAAACAAATTACTCGCACTGAACTTTGCTGTTTTCTGTTATAATATGGCCTTAGTCTTCTATTTAACCTTAAAACATGGTGATAAGGTTTATAATAGAAATAGTTCAAACCGTATACATTAGACGTGTATTCTACGCTAGTGTACAACAGTCGCATACCGGTGTCTTTGGTTGTAATACAGTCCCTTAATAGTACTAACATTTTTGCATTATGAATACAATAACGATATGAAGTTACGATTAAGGCATATTCTTATTTGATAAGAAACTTATTTTAATCGCTAAGATATTTCGTATAATATTATATCATTATGTTACGTATAGCGCTATTATATTTATATTTCTCCTTCATACTTTATGCACCAGTTTATATTATTCGTTTTTATTGTACTCTGAGTTTAGTGGTGAATAAACGCTCATAGATTAAATGTATGTAATATAATAGATGTTTGCTAAATTGTGAAATTAGTGTATAATAATATAAATTGAAGTTGAAAAAAAAGAGAAATGCTTACTAAGAGACAGATAGAGTAGACTGCCTACATACAGTTGTCAACTTAGTTACCACGAAATTTGATAAAAGACATTAAACTATATCCTCAACTACATTTTAGTTATTTTTTTTTTTGCTTTTTTAATTGATTCACTGCATATAGAAGTCTTTCTCTTCAATAGGATTAAAAAGTTTCAGGCAGTGACTGTTTAAAGTACTAAATTGTAAACATCGATATCAGACTGTTATATAATATACATAAATCAAAGAGCGCACAACTTCAGACGTAAAACTATTTTTAAATTAAAAAGCTGCTAAAATAGTATTTACTTATTTTAAATTATACAAAAGGTACACCTTAAAATTAAAATAAATTCACCATTAACCTCAGACCAAGAAAGAAAGACCTGAGCGCTGCGTACATTTCAGTAATGCCGAAGTCAAGCTACTTCTTGACACGCGCACGCACACTCACCTTTATTCTTTTTTTTTATCAACCCGCAAAAGACCCAAAAACCATATTCTTGTGTGCAAATAATTGTAACATTTTGTATGCGAGTGCGTGTTCTTACATTAAGTTGAGCATTGTTTCGGTTTACTTTTTATTACTTTAAATGCAGCACTTCGTCTTTCTATCTTTGGTGGTCTGAATCATTAACATAAATAACTAAAACTAATTCTAATAATAAATGAAGTCTCTCTAAAACACAACAATGCTGAGATCTCTGGAATATAAGACAAAACCAACCAAATCATAGCCTATTCATATATGAACCATTTTGCGAATCAGCAAGAAATAGTAGCCAAATATTACTTACTCTGTCTTATTATTTTTATGAACTTATATAAACAAAAACATTAATCAGATCGAATCACAAAGTTTATTCACACCATATAAAGGAAAATCATTAGGTGCATAAAAATCCCTTTTTTATATACATATTTCATTTTTCAGTCTCATTCCAAAAATATGTTTGTAAATGACAACTAGCAGCCTCAAAATTATATTTCAGACCACGAATCACAGTTTACTGAAGTAAGGCATCATTCTATCGAGGTGTAAATTTAAAAAACATTTTGCTCTAAAAGTTACTTCCACTGTCATTGGCATCAAAATAGCTTGTTCAATATTCTTTTACTCGATCTTTTATAACAGCCAAAGCAATCTAACAACAAACATCAATCATTAAATTACATTTAAGGCAAAAATTTAAGATAACATTACAATGGGAATATAATAAGCAAGATGGCGGACACAAAGAATGTCCCAAGGCATAACCACGTGACAAGTAATCTATGTTCTCGTTCCTTATCCGTTTCTACAAACGGTTTCATTTCTGTGTTGATGTTATTCTGTAAGACTAAATTCAATTTGTCTCTATCATACCGCACTTGGTGATCTTCATTAGATGTTTCCAAAGGAAAATCAACTTCGTCAGTGTCGAAGATCTCAAAATTGTCACACTTAAGTAGAGCGTTTTCTTTGCAAAATGGAGTAACAAATTGAATTCTATTGTTTTGATAATAAGATGCTCTATTCCTTAAGCCCTCATTGGTCCCATATACTGGCGAATAATTAATGCTTTCCACAGAATCATTATTGTTTTCATAATTCAAATGAAACTCTTCAGACTCATCTATTGTGTAATTGTTTGCGTAATCAGCCATATTGTTGAAGTTGTTTATATACCTATCATCTGAGTATCTCTGTAGCTGCCTTTGGTAGTAGTTTACTTCAGTCGAAGTCTCGTCTGCTTCGGTGACTTCGGCGGCTTCGGTGACTTCGTAAGGTCCTAGTGCGTGTGTTTGGGCGTAGTTATGGTAACGCGGGTCATTATGGATATCCTTTGGCGAGGTGTACGGCGTGGCGTGTGTGAGGAGGGCGGTGACCGTGCAAGCGAGAGGAACGATACTGGCGTCTCCCTCTCGCTCCGAGTACATCAGTATGTCAGCGGGCGAACAGATGAGCTCCTGCAACACACGCCACCCGACTCTTAGTTTCAAATAATATTCTGTTTGCTCGCGAAAGGATATCTAGCGACCCTGCAACACTGAATGGACACGCGACATTGAACTAATCGTAAAAATCCTTTACTTAAAAAAATGCAATTAATACCATCAAGAATATTGAAATTAATAATTATTGAATTAACCTTAGGACGTAAAGACTCGCGATTAATATACTATACGAAAAAAACATTATCGTACAAAATTAATTAAAAATTACTTCACTGGACTGTTAAATTACGGCTAAATTAGCACTTAAAAAAAATTGGGGCCGCGAAAATATTAATTCATCAAAAATACACAATAAACATAACACAATCCATAAATAATAGTTATCACAAAGTGTCAACTCACCTCTTCTACTCCAATTTTTCGACACGCTTCCAAGAAATTGTCTACGTTTCTCCTGCACCTGGCCATTGTTAATTTAGGCTGAAACAAAAACATACATTTAAAATAACTGTAAAATATTTTGATCTATTCTGTTATCCTAACACGTGCCTCTCGCTTCATTTACATCCATATTTCTGAAATCTTAAAATGACAGTGACTTAAGTGTAAACATTACTCATTTTAAGAACTACACAATCTTTATTTTTAACCGACTTCTAAGAGGAGGAGGTACTCAATTCGACTGTTTTTTATGTGTATTTATATATCCTCATAACTTTTTTCTAGTCGAACCGATTTTGATGATTCTTTTTTTTATTTGAAAGCTGGTGTTTTTCATGTGTTCTCATATAAATTTGATCAAGGTCTGACCAGTAGTTTTTGAGAATTTTTAATTTTACCAGTTGCATATAAATTAATTTACCTTTAATCTAAAGGGAGATTTTTAATCGAGCGAATAAAAACTTTTCTGCTGAGAGATAATAAAATATTATATTAGACTAGCTGATCCTCGCGACTTTGCCCGCGTGTTATTTGGGGTTTTAGTTTTTTTTGCGCGGAACCCTAATTCTTTTTCTAAAAGAAAAGTAGCCAAGTTACTCCTTATGACATCAGTATCTGCCAGTGAAAGTCCCGTCAAAATCGGTCCAGCCGTTTCAGAGATTAGCCGGAACAAACAAACAGACAGACAGACAGACAGACCGACAGACAGACAAAAATTTTAAAAATTGTGTTTTTGTTATAAGTATCGTATATACTTTCATATGCATTTAGTAAAAAGCCGTAATTTTGACATTACAAACAGACACTTCAATTTTATTTATTTGTATAGATTCTTGGTAAATAATAAAAAAATAGCTCGCTGAGCGACCTTGAGCTTCCTCATCCGGCCAGCAGTGAAGGACCACGTCTCAGTTCCGTATGTCATCACTTGCAACACGCACTTGGTGTACAGTCTCGTTTTCAAGGTTTGAGGTATACCTGACGAGAAGATGTGCCGTAATTTCCCGAACGCTGCCCAACCGAGTTGAATCCGTCGATTGACCTCTCGGTCGAAGTTGGACTTACCTAGTCGGACTATTTGTCCCAGGTAAACATACTCGTCAACAACTTCGAGCTTAGTGTTCCCAACAACTACCGACATAGGTGTGACATGGACATTAAACATGATCTTAGTTTTGTCCATGTTCATCTTAAGACCTATCCGTTGGGAAACACTATTGAGGTCATTGAGCATAGTGCTTAGGTCCTCCAGCGATTCTGCCATAAGGACTATATCGTCGGCAAATCGAAGGTGAGTGATGTACTCGCCATTGATGTTGATACCGTATCCTTTCCAGTCCAGAAGCTTGAAAACGTCTTCCAATGCAGCGGTGAAGAGTTTCGGGGATATGACGTCACCCTGTCTTACACCTCACTGCAATTTTCGGTTTCGTACTCTGGTTCTGTACTCGGATAGTCATCGTAGCCCTACTGTACAAGCACTTCAACACTTCGATATACCGACAGTCAACTTGGCACCGCTGAAGGGACTGCAGCACCGCCCAAATTTCGAGGGAATCAAAGGCTTTCTCATAGTCCACATACGCCAGACATAGTGGCAAATTGTACTCTTCGGACTTCTGTACAATTTGCCGAAGGGTATGTATGTGGTCTATGGTGCTAAAGCCCTTTCGGAAACCGGCTTGTTCGGGAGGCTGGAAGTCGTCAAGTCTGCGCGCAAGACGATTCGTAATGACTCCCGAAAACAGCACGTAGACGCGGCTCAGAAGGGAAATCGGTCTGTAGTTCTTCAAGAGAGCGTTGTCACCTTTCTTGAAGAACTCCGAGCATAGCCCTCTCCATAGCTCAGCGAGCTATGGAGAGGGCTATGCTCGGAGTTTCTCTGCGTGATAAACTTAGGAATGAGGATATCCGCAGTAGAACCAGAGTAACCGACATAGCTCAACGGATTAGTAAGCTGAAGTGGCAATGGGCCGGCCATATAGCTCGAAGAACCGACAACCGATGGGGAAGAAAGGTTCTCGAGTGGCAGCCTCGTACCGGTAGGCGAAGTGTAGGGCGTCCCCCCATGAGATGGAGTGACGACCTGGTAAGACATGCAGGAAGTCGATGGATGCAGGTGGCTCAGGACCGTGCTTTGTGGCATTCTTTGGGGGAGGCCTATGTTCAGCAGTGGACTTGTGAAGGGCTGTAATGATGATGATGATGATGATGAATAAAAAAATATATAAAGGTGCAGTGCAATGTGGAAAACAATTCGACAAGTAAAGAAAAATATAAATCATGTTGGTTATGAAACCGTTTCGACATTCTTGATTTCTAAGCTTAATTTGGCTAGTTTTCTTAAAAATAGGTTTTTGTTTAAAAATTGCCTGGTGGTAGTTGAACATCATTGAAGCTACATAAAGACGTCAAAAAGTAGGCTGAATGAAGTCCAATATCCAGTGATTTATAAACCAAATTGTCAGACAAAAGTATCATACTCTTCAGCCTACTTACAGACGTCATCAATAACAAAAGTTTCAAAAGTTATTAAAAATTCACCACTACTATGAACTCAAAATAGCAAGAAAAAAAATAATAACACTCATTGACTTAACTCTCGTGACTATTCTTCCGTCAATCGTATTGATAAGTGCTATTTTCAAATGGTGTTTAGTCGAGGTTTCCTGGGATTATCTCTGAACATAGCCGCACGTGGTTCGCGAGGTGCCACAGCACGCGTCCGGCGTCCGGCAGCAGCGCAGTACAGTACAGTACAGTACAGTACAGTGCAGTGCAGTGCAGTACAGTGGAGTGCAGTACCTGCGCGGGCGAGGGCACGTGCACGGAGGCGACGGCTCGCGGCCGCACGTGGTTCGCGAGGTGGCACAGCACCACGCGCAGTGCAGTGCAGTATAGTACAGTACAGTGGAGTGCAGTACCTGCGCGGGCGAGGGCACGTGCACGGAGGCGACGGCTCGCGGCAGCACGTGGTTCACGAGGTGGCACAGCACCACGCGCAGTGCAGTGCAGTATAGTACAGTACAGTGGAGTGCAGTACCTGCGCGGGCGACGGCACGTGCACGGAGGCGACGGCTCGCGGCAGCACGTGGTTCACGAGGTGGCACAGCACCACGCGCAGTGCAGTGCAGTATAGTACAGTACAGTGGAGTGCAGTACCTGCGCGGGCGAGGGCACGTGCACGGAGGCGACGGCTCGCGGCAGCACGTGGTTCACGAGGTGGCACAGCACCACGCGCAGTGCAGTGCAGTATAGTACAGTACAGTGGAGTGCAGTACCTGCGCGGGCGAGGGCACGTGCACGGAGGCGACGGCTCGCGGCAGCACGTGGTTCACGAGGTGGCACAGCACCACGCGCAGTGCAGTGCAGTATAGTACAGTACAGTGGAGTGCAGTACCTGCGCGGGCGAGGGCACGTGCACGGAGGCGACGGCTCGCGGCAGCACGTGGTTCACGAGGTGGCACAGCACCACGCGCAGTGCAGTGCAGTATAGTACAGTACAGTGGAGTGCAGTACCTGCGCGGGCGAGGGCACGTGCACGGAGGCGACGGCTCGCGGCAGCACGTGGTTCACGAGGTGGCACAGCACCACGCGCAGTGCAGTGCAGTATAGTACAGTACAGTGGAGTGCAGTACCTGCGCGGGCGAGGGCACGTGCACGGAGGCGACGGCTCGCGGCAGCACGTGGTTCACGAGGTGGCACAGCACCACGCGCAGTGCAGTGCAGTATAGTACAGTACAGTGGAGTGCAGTACCTGCGCGGGCGAGGGCACGTGCACGGAGGCGACGGCTCGCGGCAGCACGTGGTTCACGAGGTGGCACAGCACCACGCGCAGTGCAGTGCAGTATAGTACAGTACAGTGGAGTGCAGTACCTGCGCGGGCGAGGGCACGTGCACGGAGGCGACGGCTCGCGGCAGCACGTGGTTCACGAGGTGGCACAGCACCACGCGCAGTGCAGTGCAGTATAGTACAGTACAGTGGAGTGCAGTACCTGCGCGGGCGAGGGCACGTGCACGGAGGCGACGGCTCGCGGCCGCACGTGGTTCGCGAGGTGGCACAGCACCACGCGCAGTGCAGTGCAGTATAGTACAGTACAGTGGAGTGCAGTACCTGCGCGGGCGACGGCACGTGCACGGAGGCGACGGCTCGCGGCAGCACGTGGTTCACGAGGTGGCACAGCACCACGCGCAGTGCAGTGCAGTATAGTACAGTACAGTGGAGTGCAGTACCTGCGCGGGCGAGGGCACGTGCACGGAGGCGACGGCTCGCGGCAGCACGTGGTTCACGAGGTGGCACAGCACCACGCGCAGTGCAGTGCAGTATAGTACAGTACAGTGGAGTGCAGTACCTGCGCGGGCGAGGGCACGTGCACGGAGGCGACGGCTCGCGGCAGCACGTGGTTCACGAGGTGGCACAGCACCACGCGCAGTGCAGTGCAGTATAGTACAGTACAGTGGAGTGCAGTACCTGCGCGGGCGAGGGCACGTGCACGGAGGCGACGGCTCGCGGCAGCACGTGGTTCACGAGGTGGCACAGCACCACGCGCAGTGCAGTGCAGTATAGTACAGTACAGTGGAGTGCAGTACCTGCGCGGGCGAGGGCACGTGCACGGAGGCGACGGCTCGCGGCCGCACGTGGTTCGCGAGGTGGCACAGCACCACGCGCAGTGCAGTGCAGTATAGTACAGTACAGTGGAGTGCAGTACCTGCGCGGGCGACGGCACGTGCACGGAGGCGACGGCTCGCGGCAGCACGTGGTTCACGAGGTGGCACAGCACCACGCGCAGTGCAGTGCAGTATAGTACAGTACAGTGGAGTGCAGTACCTGCGCGGGCGAGGGCACGTGCACGGAGGCGACGGCTCGCGGCAGCACGTGGTTCACGAGGTGGCACAGCACCACGCGCAGTGCAGTGCAGTATAGTACAGTACAGTGGAGTGCAGTACCTGCGCGGGCGAGGGCACGTGCACGGAGGCGACGGCTCGCGGCAGCACGTGGTTCACGAGGTGGCACAGCACCACGCGCAGTGCAGTGCAGTATAGTACAGTACAGTGGAGTGCAGTACCTGCGCGGGCGAGGGCACGTGCACGGAGGCGACGGCTCGCGGCAGCACGTGGTTCACGAGGTGGCACAGCACCACGCGCAGTGCAGTGCAGTATAGTACAGTACAGTGGAGTGCAGTACCTGCGCGGGCGAGGGCACGTGCACGGAGGCGACGGCTCGCGGCCGCACGTGGTTCGCGAGGTGGCACAGCACCACGCGCAGTGCAGTGCAGTATAGTACAGTACAGTGGAGTGCAGTACCTGCGCGGGCGACGGCACGTGCACGGAGGCGACGGCTCGCGGCAGCACGTGGTTCACGAGGTGGCACAGCACCACGCGCAGTGCAGTGCAGTATAGTACAGTACAGTGGAGTGCAGTACCTGCGCGGGCGAGGGCACGTGCACGGAGGCGACGGCTCGCGGCCGCACGTGGTTCGCGAGGTGGCACAGCACCACGCCGTCCGCCAGCACGGGCGCAAGCTGCTCCGGTAGAGACATCTTCAGCCGCGACTCGATTATCTGTAAAGGTATAAGTAAATTACACGAAATGAAAGTCAAAATATTATATAATAATTCTCTTTCATCAGCCAGTAAAAATCCACGGCTAGACAAGGAAAGGCTTCCAGCAGTATGAAGAATTTGTCATATTAGTCGAATGTAAAATGCAATTGCATTGTCAATAATCTTCCACATTTGACGCTGCACCCCGTCGCCGGAATTGTTTAATCGCCATCTTTAAGAAGTCAAGGTCTCATATTCTCTTTTTGACATTTCTCAATGTCGCCGCTTACGTTAACACCACCACAGAGTGACACACTTACACTTAGAACATCTTTGATGCAAATCCTACTTGGTAAACTAACAGATAAGAACGTATTATTCCATACAATATGATACATTGTAATACCATTACTACTAACGTCATCGAAGGCAGAGTCTAGACAGGGATATCGTGTGCTGCATTGCGGGACGAGATGCGGGCGGAGCGCTCCCGAACGGTTATTAATTGTTCGGGAATTGTCCGGCAAGGCAGTCGTGGCACGTTCTAAATAAATTAAAATTGTTCACACTATGTGTGCAGTAGAAAACAGTGGGGTAACAGAAAGTTAAAATTTAGTTGTTCAAAAAATCGAAAATATCTATCAGTTGCACATTTGTAAATGTTTTAATGTAATCCTAATAGGTCAGTTGAGTTAGGTCAAAAACGAATACATATTTAATATCACCTAAAAGAAGACATATAAATACGATAGCTGAAGAAAAAGTAACATCCATCAAAATATGGACGATATTAATGTTATACATAAACGTAGTGATTATATTCTCTTTGGTTATACACTTTAAAATTTTCTTTGCCTTCTTTCTCTCGCAAAATGGAGAAACCGCCCATATTAACTTACTTCAACGGTAATATTAATGACGTAATTTTTTTGTGTGGCCATCTTTGTCTATTCAACATGTATTCAAATAAAAAAATATAGTGTTAAATAAGTTGTTATTACTCCGAGATATAGATATAGTAACTAACGTTAAAATAGATTGGCAATGCAAAAGAAAAACAGCATAGTTTACGTGTATTAAAGCGAGAAAAATACGCTAGACCAGGCTAGACTATTCACGTACACGCCTATCGGCCCGTATCGGCCAGGGGTCATTCATAAACAAAACATATCACACTTGTATTTGCGAAACCTCTGCTTTTAAAGTAAAAATTAGTATTTAATAGACGTGACTAGGTGCACAATACATAAATATAACTCACCTCGGAAAAAAAATCCCACATTATTATACATTAAGCTGTAGGTATGATTGATGATTTAGCTGTCTAAATAAGGTGTTTTAGAGCAGGTACAAACAGTTTTTACTTCAATGGATAGGAAAAAGTATCACATTTTATTATAATAATTAAGTAAATGCAAAACAACTGAATTTAAAATAATTACAAATACGTGAAATTCCGCTCACTCTTTTCACACCTCATTTTTGTAGATTGACATTATCGATAATATTTTATCGAAATGTCTTAACAAGCAAAGGTACGACTTGCAAGCAGCCTTATTCAACTTAGTAATTTTTTTAATGTCTATGTTTCCGTAGCTAAAATATTCTTCTAATCGTATGAAAAATATATTTTTAATAGAATTAGGGTGACAAACCTAGTACTTACCTAGTACCGGTATAAATACAGGCTGTAAGACATTCCATCTCAGTCCGTAGAGGTAAAGCTGCAAGTTTCCACGGGCTATAGTAGCTACTTACCATGGTCAAGTGGATTGTAAGTTCGTTGGATACTTCAGTTTATAAAAAAAAAAAACTAACTAATAAATCCTAATAAAGTTACATTTTTTATAACATGTATTTTCATAATGTCCAAAATATTCAGAATTACACCTTTTATTGCATCGCAGACACGATTATATCAATATTTATTTACACTGTATGATAATTTAAGTTTTTAGTTTAAGTTTTTCTTTGATATAGTTTTTTAAAATATTAAAAAAATACATACTAGTATGTATTTCAATGTTTCATTACATGTCCACAATAAGCCGCCATGTTAATTTTTATGTAACTTCATGCAGCTTAAAACCCGCGAGAAGGCACAATGCTTTTAAAGATATCTAATTCGTCAATATACGATGAGTAGTTTAGAAGATATGAGGTAACAGATGAATATTCATACATATATAGCCTTCTAAAATTGTAACCATCCTTTTGGCTTCGCCATAGTTGGGTAAAAATATTCATTTACATCACCTGCGTCAAATCAGGATACACGAATATACTGCAATCGGTATCGTTAATTGAAGTTGAGACAGGCAGTGCATGGTGCAGCACTATTTGTCACCCACACATGCACACACTGGTGTATTGTGATTTTGGTCTTGCCCTAATCACTCCATTGCCAATCTATACTATACTATAATATCTATGTTATAAACTGCTTATATTGTATTCGACAGTGGACTATTTTTTTTTTGTAACTGTTTATTATAATCTATATTTATTATTTCTGAATAGCAATTGTCTAATTAATTATTTGATTTGTTTAAACGTGGCATAAAACAAAATCATTTTTTTATTACTTCTCGTTGTGACAACCTTAGAAATTTAATTGTTTATGTCGGCTTTTCCGACAACATCAAACGCGATGACTGACTTTTATGGTCTTCTTAGGCTGTGGTAATACTTTCTACACCTCTTTTAATGGTCAGTACGTACTTACGCCCCGAATGTTTTACTGCATTATAATTCTGGAAAAAAAACTATAAGTAAATAAATAAAATGTTACCGTTCTCAACTGTTCCAGTAGTTCCGACTCTTCCTTCTGTTTATCGAACTCCCTCTTCATGGTGAAGCTTAATTTGTCGACAGGCGCGTCTTTGTTCCACGCCATCTTGCCCGCCGGCTTCGGCGCCGCACCTTTCAAGTAGGATACCGTTGTGGTTAATAGTTTCGCGCCCTCCCCTCCATTAGTCTGTCTCGGTATATTCGATTTCATTCCTATACTGTTATACCCTAACGTATTTGTAGGCGATTTTGTCGGTGAAGTTGGCTTTATATACGCTTCCGTCTGTCCGTTCACCCGCCCATTGAAGTCTACATTCCCATTAACGGACGAATACATTTTGTTAACGTTTCTAGAAGGAACTACTTTTTGAACCGGCCTCTTGTTTTGTTCTTCTTGTTTCTCGTTGTTGCCGTTCTGATTCTGAAATCTTCTGGGAGTTGAGTGAAGGAGGGGGGAGTTTGGCGCTTGTGAAGTGTTAGATGAGTTGGAGGTGGTCGAATTTGATGAAACGGATCGGTTATAAAGACTAGGTGATACGTTACTATAGCCGTTTACTGGGGAGTGAGGTGCGGATGTTCTCTGGAAGTGGACAGGGCTTTGGTTCTGGGACTGTGGGGCGGAATCGAGCTCTGGTGAGGGTTGATCGGTCCGGGGTCGGTAGATGTCTTGCTGGCGTTGTTGTCTTAAGGCTTCTTTGTATTGTCTGAAAATTGAGAGATTAAAAATTAAATTACATATTCAACCAACTTATCCAACAAAGCCAGCTCGATAACATTCTGATCTTCAATTTATACAAATAAAATATGCAAATATATAATTTTGCAATATTAATGTTTATAAAAAAATAAATATTATCCAAAATTAGAATGTTTGCAACCTGGCCGTTAGGAAGCTTGTATGACACTTAGATAGGCATGACGAGTTGCAAATGGCACTTTCGGTTTTTTATTAGGAAAAATATGTTAGCACAAATCTGATACAATAATTGAAAAGATAATTCATGAACACCCATAGCTTAAATAAAGTAGCGAGACAAACTTATAAATAAATATTGCATAAATAAAGCAATCGCATAATGATTCGTAGTATCTACAGATTATTAGTTGTTAGTGTCCCACACCTAAGTGTCATTACAAATAAAAAATTCAATATAGTGCGATATGTTCATGAGAGTCGTGCATATGAGTGACGATGTACCTGTAGGTTTGCTGATGTGCTAATTTAGTCTTATCGTCGCCATTTGAAATGTTCCCTTCAGGTGATATACGGAGGCTGAAAGGGACAACACCGGGGGTTAATATAAAAAGGGTATGGAGAAAAATAAAAACAGAAAGATGTGACAAAGGAAGTGATAATGTCGATGACGAAATCGGGCATTAATTTTCGTTTACCTCTGTTTCAGCCAATGCAAGAGGAATAAAAGAAATTGAATAAGATAATTTACACTATTCTAAGATCTACAACAAAATACAATAGATACTTTCTACCAATATTTTAATAAATAAAGACTTGGGATGTTTATATTTTTTTTATTCTTTACCTGAACAACCTACCATAAAATAGTTTTATATATCCGGCACTGCATAACAAGTATGTTAAATAATATAAATATATATAACCCATTTAAATACCATATCAAACTCTACGCATGCAGAGAATATTTTATTATAAATTTATTTGAAGTGAATAACATCGCCCACATGCAACGCTTTTGAATAAAAAGCGAAATCTTTGTAAACTATGCGACTATACAAACTATAGAAGAAAACCTCATTGCTAAACCCAACTATCTTTTATCTTCGATACAAGATTCTATGATAGATATGTATAATTTTCGATAAACTTCTGCAAACATCCCCGCATGCGTTAATACAGAAACCCATTCATATTCAATTACCCGCGACAAACTTTACTTTTCCGTGGTAAAACGTATTCTATGAGGGGCTATCCGTATGCCAATCCGTATTAGTACAACAGTTTATGCATGTTTATATAACAAACACGCAACATCTTAACACGTATTCTCATAATATATTATGACATTAAAGTGACATGTTTTGAATGGCCTGAGAATAGAACAGAATAACTCTTTATTAATAGTTTTTTTTTTCCTTTTACCACTAGTTCAAAAATATCTGTTAAGGGAACAACTAACAAGAAACCAAGCGGAATTTCAGACCATTTTGATTTTGTTGTTTTATAATAAGATTTATTTAATTAATGAAATAGCTATAGCACACCCGAAATAGAAATTCGTCAAAGATTTAAATATTTTATTAGATGATTACCTCAGTATTGATTAAAAAATTGGTGAAGAGTTACTTTATACTCTTTGATAAATGGAAACAAAATTCACTAAAATACTTGGTATGAAGTTTATAAAATACTGAAAATATTTTTAACATGAAGTATAAGCTTGAAAATGACGTTCATAGCTACGTGAAATATTGACTATGTTGTCTCATATATTTTTCTGAGGGTCTATTTATATTACTTCTATAAAATATGTCCAGATCCAAACTGAAAGCTCTATATAACTTACCCAGTGAGTAATGGCGTCAAAGGCGCCAACGGAGATTCACTGGACAAGGACTGCGCTCTCGACAAGGCGGCCCCCGGCGACAGCGTAGACGGCGTGCTGGGGGTTGACCGACCAGAACCACCTCCACCCCCTGCCTCACCAGCCGCTGCGAATTAATTATTGTTCATTTGTCATGAGTTAGCAATCACACCTCTAAAAGAGGAGAGGTGCGATATCGATTGGTGATTGCTTATCATCCCCATCATATTCATAAAAAAATTATATATAAACATTACTAACAACATGTTATGTGTATTAATGTTTACATGACATTTTGTTTGACATGTCTGTTATAATAAAAAATCCTTTGCTATTATTATTGCGAAAAAAAATAAGTAAATTTTAAACTATTTTTATGAACATCATAGAAAGAAAGAAAGAGAAATTTATTTAGCCATTGCTTAACAGATTTGCACAACTCAAAATAAACATTATGTATAGGTAATCTTATAACTAGATTTAATTATACACTTACAATGAAAAATAAATCATTATGACAAAAAAACGCAGATACAAAATAAATATACAAAAAGCGAACGGGTAACTAAAAAAAATTGTATGTGAAAAGGTCCAAATAGGACTCCCACTCAGGAAATGTTAAGATATGTTATCCTAGCCTTGATTTTCAGTTCGTCAATTGGTCTGTCTGTCAGCATGCACACTCAATATCTCTCAATGACTCAATACATTCAGCATTCCTTTCTTAATCCAGGTCACAACATCTTGCAAGCCATAATTTTCTTTTGTCACACAACATCTCTCCTCTTATCATTCAGCTTTACCACTAACACACTTATTAATTACCGCATTTCAGAATTAATTCTACTCTCATGCTTCTTCTGCTATACCTAACTTTCACTTCCATACATTAAGATAGGGACGAATACAACTTTGTGAATTGCAATACAAGCCTTTATTGACACATTATGACTTCCCACACCAAAGTGAAGAGCCCCATTTACTCTGCATCCTACATTCACTCTTCGTTCTATATCCTTGTCACGTTTACCTACCCTGCTAAACAAACATCCTAAATACACAAACTCATCAAGTTGTCTCATGCATTGAGATGTTAACAGACTTAATTCGTTTTAGTTTATTTCGACTTCATTCATGTCTTAATTAATCATTAACATAATTAATAGAATCAGGCGTTACTTTGCGGAAATCCATTATATAAAAGCTTTTACAAAAATTTACTTCGCAAATATCCGCGTTATAAAATAAAATGATGTGTCTTACCTAGTATGAAGAAGCACCTCCCGCCCTCCCTCAATTGCGTGCACTATCCCCGTCACCACTAATCCCAGTACCGCTACTCCCAACACCACTACACTAGGCAAGACACACCACTGACGATAATACGACACGTGTTTCGCCTCTACGACAGGGCGGGAGGTGCTTCTTCATACTAGGTAAGACACATCATTTTATTTTATAACGCGGATATTTGCGAAGTAAAAAATTTTTTGTAAAAGCTTTTAATCATTAACACCCAAAAATATGCATAACTGGACATATACTTCATCTTATCTTTTTATTTTATTCTTGAAATGAAATCCAATGTTTAGGGGTAAGAAATTTGAATTACAAAAAAATTTACTACCGTTTCAAAATGTTATATGATGTAAAAAATATTAGGAAACGTCGTCTTTAAAATATTTTTATAAAAACTTTCAACAACAATTCTCAACTCTCCCTGGATCTCAGTCAGTCCAGGGTTAAAGGTGCAGTAGTTTTCGCCTTTATTTAGAACTATAGTAACCGACATAACTCAAGTAGCAATAAGCCAGTCATATAGATCAAAGAACCGGCAACCGATGGGGAAGAAAGGTTCTCGAGTGGCAGCCTCAAATCGATAAGCTTAATGTATGGCGGCCCCTGGTTAAAAGCAGTGACGACCCGGTAAGACATGCAAAAAGTTTTGGATGCAGGTGGTTGAGAACCGTCCTTTATGGCATTCCTTGGGGAAGGCCTATGTTCAGTAGTAGATTTGGCATGGATTGAAATGATGATGATTCAATTTCCGAAATCTACTTAACTCGCCTCAAAATGACATAGTAAATGAACAAATCGAGATCGATCTCCGCCGACACCATCGAAATTGATAGCAATTTTAATGACTCATCGGTCATCACATGATCGGCGCTGAAGGAAGGAAAACATCGTAAGTAACCTTGCATGTCCGAGGGAAAAAATGGGCATGTGGAACTGCTCCAAAAACCCTCTAATGAGAAGTCTGTGATCAACAGTGGAAACTATATTGAATGTTTTATTTTACCTTAAACTTATAAATCAAAGAGCAATGGCAGAAAAATAGTTGACAAAAATTATAGCGTCTAGAAATAAGTTATATATAAAATGAGTTTTATTATTTTTCTATGATTTTTCAAATAAAAATGTATTTTAATTAAAGCCACAGAAAAAAGCAAACATTTTTGGGAATATCAAATGATTGAAATCATTTGACTCTATTCAAATGTTGCCATTTAGTATATTCCTACTATTTTTGTATACACTTTGTAACACTACCAACACAACACACAAAATATTTTTATATTAAGTTATTATTGGTAATAACTGTACTATCAGTAATAACAAAAATAAAAGTAATATGGCTGAGAATAGGTCTCTTACAAAGAATTTCCTACAATAATACATTATCTTATTCATAGTACAATGTAACAATTCCATTTAATGTTATGACAACACTAGCTAAAATAAAATGTCACTGTTTTTTTTACTGGCTTTACGGCTCTGGGTTCTGGCCCTTCTGAGAATGTCACTATGGTACAAAAGCCCTGGAGCCATGCCAGAAATATACATTTATAGTATGCAAATATATAATAGAGATACAATAATCTAAAAACTCTCAATTATGTATTATGTATTAAGCTAACATCAAACAACCACAGGAAGCATGACTTTTTCCAAGTGACATAGGACATAACCCAAAAAGGTTCAAATGTAAATATCTTTTTTTTGACGCCTTCTCAGTACAAAATTCTTTGACAGAGTTATTAAGGGACTGACGCTTAACATTTTAAGATATTTTTGGTATATAGACGCTACCATTTCTTCTCAACTAATTTTATGTATGAAAGTCTGCCATTGCTCTTTAGGGATGACCACCATTTTACGTGGTAGAGCTATGCTACACCTATATTGGTAGCACAGTTGTAGCACGAATAGGTCAGCTCGACCGGAGAAAGACCACGATCTCACAGAATACCAGCTCAAAATAGCAGCTTAACGTTGATGTGTTTCGTATGGTGAGTGTAGAGAACCGGAGACCATTTTTACTGGAAACGAGGCACTCCATCTTAGTCCTCACGGGTGACAACACATCTGCATTTTAATTCGTAATCAAGTGGACTGTGCGCTTGTTTGTCACCCTTAATCTATAAAAAAAGACCAAAGGAAAATGTTTAATCGAATGATTATTATCCTGCACACGCTTGTATGAAAATAAAAATAGCATTCGAGTATTTTAAACACTCGCCGAAAAAAACGTTTCCGCACTCGTGCCAATTTAGATAAACGTCTTAAATTGTCAATTGCCTGCTAGGAAAATTGCACCCAATCAAGCCACTTAAAGTACGCTAAAATTATACTACATTGTTTTTTGAGCAATTTTAAAGGTACCGAGTTTAAATTACAATCAAAAATGACGTCTTAATATAGAAGCTCATAGTTCAATCATCTTTTTAAGTCAATCATGGGTGTTTTATAAGATTTAATGCACTATAATATATAAGAAATTATTGTTTTAGGGTTTTCGATATATTAACTTCCCTTTTATATTTCGTTTAATCATTTTTATATTTATGACAATAATTATTTATTACGACATATGATACTTTTTTTACTATCTAGTCGGCAGAGTAACTGACTAATACACTACGCGGTTTGAGTTCGAATTCCACTCGGAGCATCATTTGAGCAAATTACAAATGATTGGTTATTGGGTTTAGTTGGGTATTGAATTATAATGGTTGGTTGCTAACAACATAAACTAAATTAACATAAATCCTATCCTATCATAGTCTACTGCTGAAGATAGGTCTCCCCACAGAATGCCTCATAAGGGGGATGTTTGCCATATTTGTCACAGTTAGCAGGGCGTTTGGCAGCCGCAGTTTTTATATTTTATAGTTGTTATTAGTAAGACGCTGCCACCCATCTCCTAGTTTGTTTACCTCTATATCCGTTAAGACACCGAATTGACGATAGGATAGTGTGTATTTTTGCACCGTCACTCACAATAATCATTTACTCTGACAATATTAAAATTAAATTATAAATAATGATTGAAATAGAGCTAACCTTCAATCTTTATAATATATCTTACATCCCCGGGCCCTGGCTAATATATCGTCACATCTCCTGGCCCTGGCCAGCAGATGTCCTGAATGATGATGAAGTAAATTACGACAGAATTCGGAAGCTATTGCTGTGACGTCAGAAGAACGTCAACATCACTATTTTGAAAAATGCATGGTTTAAACCAAGTTCGATGGCTTAAGCGTTATTTAAATATTATCTAATTTTGGCCTAGGTCCTCCCTTACACCATGCTATTATTATGCTGACCTTTTGGCTAAATATCAATCTCGCCGGCACGCGTTGCGCGAAGCTGACTAAAGGTTAAGGCTCCGACGATCGATTAATAGCGGAAAACGCTATAACTGAATTTTAAAGACCGATGGTGGAGATAAAAATCACCAGTACGAGGACATATGTTCTGGATATGTTAAGTTCTGGACATAGGTTTGTTATTCTGTTCTTTGCTTAGTAACCGTAGCCAGGTTGGTGTTGGTATGTGGTAAATATATATATATATATATATATACCCCAATGATTAGAGCAACAAACAGACGGCCCCCAGTCTCCGGCGGCCGCGCAACGGCGGGGCAGGGGGTGCTAAGAATCTCCGGTGGAGGTTCGGTTGCCACCTTAGACGACTCGACCTGGCAACGTACAACGCACGCACCCTAAGGACTGACGAGAAGATCGTGGAGCTGGAAGAAGAGATAGACAAGTTGCGCTGGCATATTATAGGATTATCCGAAGTCCGAAGAGAGGGGGAGGACACGGTAATCCTCGAATCCGGCAACTTGCTCTATCACCGGGAGGGCGACCATCTATCCCAAGAAAGTGTCGGATTTATCGTCCACAAGTCTCTCGTTAACAACGTTGTAAAGATACACCACTAAGAACCGGAGATGCTTCATACTGGCATTGAGGCATTCCATCTTAATCCTTAGGGGTGACAAAACATCTGAATATTGATTATTTACCGACGATAGATATAAGTGTCTATTAATCACAGTTAACGTTACTCATTTATCAACCATATTTTTTTAAAGAAATAACACCTATCCCAATCGAATAAGGATAATAACAAATAACGATCTTATGACTGATTTCGAACGACAACTTCCGAACTAGATTAACTTATTATAATGCTATAAGTGTATGTGTAAACACTTACTAAACCCTAAATAAGATATAATTCCCAATAAGTCTGAATTCTGTCTTCTACTCTAAGCTAACTCACCATCATTCGACCACCTCTTTTCCATTCCATCTGTGCAGTAACCACTGTCGATGACATGCCTCGGCTTATGCCTCAGACAGTCTATAGTGGCGTTGCCGGAGGTGATCTGGTGTGCAGAGCTCTGTACTGGTGTGTTGCTGATATAAGATGTGTGCTTTGCCGACCTCCTTGTCTCATCCACCCTTCTGTGGGCCGGCAACGAGTCTTTGTTTGCCATGTTGTCTAGATATTTGAATATATGCACGCGCCCGCGCATGCAAACCTGAAAACAGGCATATGCAAATTTTTTTTAAATTATTGTGTCTAATCATTTAATGCCGCGTGGGCAGGCTGAAAGAATGATTATGATTGTCTAAAAATAAGTTAATTACTTTTTTGTTGACGAATTTAGTATTAAATAACAAAAAATGTAAAGCAAAAAACTCAGATCGGCAAAGAAAGAAAGACGGAGCGCCGCGTATAATATTTCAAGTGACGCAAGAACTAAACCAAACGTGATAAATTTATTGTAAGAACAAGCACTCACGCAAACATATTGATCTAAAATCATATACAACTAACAACATTGTTTTAGGTGCATATGTGTGCCCAGTAGTAAACTTTTGCGAGCTGATAAAGAAATAAAGAAGTAATATATGTGCGTGAGTGCGTGTCAAGAAGTTGAACATGGTTTTATTTTATTTATTTATTTATTTAAAACTTCATATACACATGTGGTATATAGGCGGACTTAATGCCTAAGGCATTCTCTACCAGTCTACCTTGGGATGATGCAGAGATATAATGAAGTAGGAGTAATAAAAAGATAATATTTTAATACTAAACTAAAATAACAAAAAAAATTGTAGCACATCGAAATAAAATACATAAGATATAAATGTTAATAAAAAAATATAATATATATATAATATATAACATATATATATATTATATATAAAATAAATTATGATAAAAATAATAAGATAATAAAAATGTATATTACTTAAGTACATATTAAAACGTCAGATGTATGTAAACTCATGAAGATATACAATTATAGACATAATCAAATAAAATATATATATATTTATATATAAAATGTATATAAACTATAACTATGATGAATCTGCCAATTTATTAGTTAAGTATTCCCGAACCTTCATCTTGAACGCGTAACGATTGCTAGCCGTCCTGATTTCGAGAGGTAGTGCGTTCCAAAGGAGAATAGATTGAATGTGGAAAGAAGAATGAACAAGTCCAGAGCTATGGGAGGGACATAGGAGAAGAAGGTTGTTCGTAGAGCGGAGGTTTCTCTCATGACTAGCGCTAAGCAACTGAAAGTATGGAGATAAGTAAGAACAGGAAGTTGGAGACATCAGGATAGAATAAAGGGTAGTGAGTGCACGCAAACTACGGCGTTGACGAATTTACCGTCACTTGAAATGTGTGCAGCGCTCCGTCATCATCTTTCGTTATTCTGAGGCAAAAAACAAATAGTTACTGGTTAAAAAGTTCGGTAAAAACCGTTACTGAGCCTGATTTTGCGCGCATGAAGAATATGTTTTAAGCGTCTTCATCGTACATAATTAAAGTAATAATATATAATAAAATTCCTTACAGCGTTGTTAACAGCACATCGTAAGCGGTCCTTAACGATAGCACTCTCAAATAATAACGACACCGCTTTAAAATTTTGCAGCACATTCAAGAGCATTCCAAGATTAATGAAGATCAAAGTGAAAAGCGCTTACTCATGAAGCTTAGTAAATAATGTAACAACTTTGCTTAATATTTAGTACAGATTGTGTTTTTTGAAGGCTATAGACATCACTTTGCTTTAAAATAAAAGATGAGAAAACTTACTTCCTTAGATACGCGTGCAAAATTAAAATGAAAACATCTACTATGAAAACATCTGAGCGGTATTGGGTTTTCTTGTGGCGGTGATAGTACACGCCATTTAGTATGCATTTTTTTTGGGAATATCATTATTTTAGGGAGACCATTTAAAAATATGCATTAGGACTTACTGTGGTGGGTGGAGAGACGAGAGGGTTGTTGTCCAAGTTAAGCGTGACTAGCGTGGTCATGTTGCGGAGTTCCAGCGGAAGTGATGATATGCAGTTGCAGCTCACGTCCAGATGCTCGAGCCGTAGGTAAGTGATCTCTGTAACACGAACATAGAAATCCCCTTCATAATATATAAACAAGATAATTAATTATATCACCGTCTATCGAAGACCAAATCTTTCCGAAGTTTCCTACAACTCTTACGAAACCCGTAGGACTAGAAGAGATGATGGTTTCGCTTACACTGGTACTTCTAACAGTGGATGAAGCGTTTACTGCAAAATTTTGTGAACAATATAGATACAAAACAATAATAAAGTTTGATGATTACGAAAAACCCCGCCTGAATGTTTAATTACAGGCTACTAACATCTTAGTCCTTAGATGAGAAAACGCATCTGTTTGTAGCATTAGAAGATCGTTGCAGGTATCCATGCGCTGCAGTAGATAGAGCTGGCTTAGAAGTAGATGGCGATCCGTCTCATACATACCAGGTAAAATATAACCAGGCCGGCTATGGGGAGGGAGTAGCGTCAAAGCCAACGAGGCGACGTGGAGATGGTTGGGGATTATGATCCTTATTATTGAAGAAGCAATGCCCAGCAGTGTACTGCTACGGACTGGTAAATAAGTACAAAAGTATTATAAGATTACAGACTATAGAAAATTTAATTTGGATTAACTCGCAAATCCAATTGTTCCGAGGTCTCCTAATAAACAAGGTGCAGTAACATCGAAGCTTTCGCCACGCCTTCACCGCGCCCATACAATATTTCACTCGAGTCATATGGTATCGCTACGTAACAACTTGTATTCATATTGACCTACATCAGTCGAAATAAATGAAGCGATTGTACCTATAACCACAGAATAAATAATAGCTAAGAGTTGAAGCACACTAAAAGCCTGGTCTCCATTCTATTCCATATACCTATGTACGAGTATAACTTAATGACTTTAAATTATGTTTCACAGTTAACGGTCATTTTTTTTTTATAGGAGAGGGGGCAAACGAGCATGCGGCTCACCTGATGGTAAGTGACTACCGCCGCCCATGAGCAACTGCAACACCAGGGGAATCGCAGATGCGTTGCCGGCCTTTTAAAAAGGAGTACGCTCTTTTCTTGAAGGTCCCTAAGTCGTATCGGTCCGGAAAAATCGCTGATGGTAATCGATTCCACAAGGAGGTCGTGCGAGGAAGAAAACATCTTCTAAATCGCACAGTGGTGGACCGCCAATCATCCAGATGGTGTGGATGGTATCGGGAGTTCTGCCGCGATGTGCGTTCGTGAAATTTGGCGGCTGGGATTAATCCGAACAATTCCTCAGAGCACTCCCCATGGTAGATGCGAAAGAAAATGCAAAGGGATGCAACATCTCTTCGCAGTGCCAATGAATCGAGCCGATCGGAAAGGGCTCGGTCGTCGACAATTCGAGCCGCTCTGCGTTGGATGCGGTCAAGTGGAAGGAGCTGGCACTGGGGAGCCCCTGCCCAGAGATGGGAACAGTATTCCATGTGAGGCCGAACTTGCGCCTTGTAAAGTAGCAAGCGGTGTGCCGGCATGAAATACTGTCCCGCTCTGCTGAGCACGCCAAGCTTTTTGGAGGCCAATTTGGCCTTCCCTTCCAAGTGACCACGAAACTGCACGTCACTCGATATGTCGACTCCGAGGATACCGATACTGGCTGAGGCAAGAAGGGGAGTGCCTTGAAACTGAGGAGATACGACAAAGGGGTTCTTTTTAGCGGTAAACGCGCAAACTTGTGTCTTCTGAGGATTAAATTGGACTAGATTTAGTCGCCCCCAATCCGAGACTTTGTTCAGCAAAGACTCGACTTCAGACACAAGTTTGTTCCGGTACTCAGCGACGTTTTCCCGAGAAATATTGGCACGGCCGGTGTATAGAGCATCACCAGTGCTGTCATCCGCATAGCAATGAATGTTACCAGTTAGCAACATATCATTGATATGCAGAAGAAACAGCGTTGGTGATAGCACACAGCCTTGTGGAACACCAGCGTTAATAGGCTTGTAGTCAGAGCATGCACCGTCTACAACGACCTTGATGCTCCGATCTACAAGGAAGCTGGTGATCCAATTGCACAATTTCTCGGGAAGCCCATAGGAAGGGAGCTTCGAAAGAAGCGCTTTGTGCCAAACCCGATCGAAGGCCTTTACAAAGATGTCGCAGAGTACTCCAGGCCATGATGATATCTTTACTGTTGATGAATGTTTGCTACACATTTCAGTAAAGTTCTATTTCTGTTATATTTCCAATACTCGTATATAATTTTTTTATGCACCCACTTCTTTGAGGAATGAAGGTATAATAATTTAATAAATTAAGCTTATTATACCACTAAGGATACTCTGGAAATCCCTATACTCTCTCATGGGTGCGTCATAAATATTCCTTATACTTTTTATTAAATTAGGTGTTAAATTATATCAAATTTATTTTATAAAAATGGGTTTATTTAGGTTGTAATTAAATGTGTTGTACAACCGACGTCAATATACATTATTATGAATAACTTAAAAACTATTGTTCAGACCTCCATCAAATTTATATGGGACCACATGAGAAGCACCAGCTTTCAAAAGAGAACAATCGAAATCGGTTCACCTAAAAAAAAGTTATGAGGTAACACACATAAAAAAGAACATACAGTCGAATTGAGTGCCTGCTCCTTTTTGAAAATGGTAGAATAATTAAAAATTAAAAACTTTGTACAACCGTCTTCAATATAAATTATTAAGAATAACTCAAAAACTATTGGTCAGACCTTGATCAAATTTATATGGGACCACATGCGAAGCACCTGCTTTCAAATAAAAAAGAATCATCGAAATCGTTTCACACGTTTTATTTACGTGGTAGAGCCATGCTGCAGCTATATTAGTAGTGTAGTTGTAGCACGAATGGGTCGGCTCGACCGGGGAAGGACCACGCTCTCACAGAATACCAGCGTCAAATAGCAGCTTAACACTGCTGTGTTTCGTATGATGAGTGTAGAGAACCGGAGACCCTTTTTACTGGAAACGAGGCATTCTACCTTAGTCCTCACGGGTGGCAACGCATCTGCATTTTGATTCGCAAACGAGGATAAATGTAGATGTCTATGGGCCACAGCAGCCACTTACCATCAGGTGGACTGTGTGCTCGTTTGTCACCCTATACTATAAAAACACAGAAAAAACTTACGAGGTAACACACATAAAAAAAACATACAGTCGAATTGAGAAGTACCTCCTCCTGTTTGAAGTCTGTAGAAAAACTCTGTAAAATACGGTGTACCACGAATGGGTCGGATCGACGGGGTAAAAACCACGCACTCACAATTTTTACTGAGAACGAGGCATTCCATTAGTCCCCAGGTGTGACAACGCATCTGCATTTTGATTCCTAATTAAGGATACATGTAGATGTCTATGAGCCACAGGATCCATTTACCATCAGGTGGACTGTGTGCTCGTTCGTCACCTATTCTATAAAAAAGTATAGAAGTAATAAAAGCTTCTTATTTATTTTATGTAGGAAACTTTATCTCATCATTTACATTCCGCATCTGTGGTGACGTTTCCATCTTTTTGATATCCGCCTTTTGAATTCAACCATTACTTCCTATCTTATTTGATCTTACATTTATCCCTCGTTTATTGCGAGTAATAATCCTCAAATAAGGCCTCAAATAACCTGTCTGTATTCATGCCAATGTTATCACATTTTACTTATATGTAAATTACGCCACAGGTACATCTTTAGAGCATAAAGATGCAATGCGGACTAATTAAATATTTTTTAAGCAGCTGCAGTACTACAGGGTGGGGCAGCATAACTTCCTTATTTGTAATGCGCGCCATTCGGTCAGGTGACATCGTAGTGGAGCGCTAGTGGTCTCGTTCGAGAGGGGGGGCTATAAAGTTTAGTCGAGACAGCTCAGTCGCCATAATGCGTTGGAACAGTGAGGAGCGTGCGTTTGCTGTTGAGGCTTACTTTTCGCGCGGATGTTCTGTGATTGCAACTCAGGGCGCCTTTCGAAATCGCTTTAATTTAGCCCCGTTGGCCCCTGTTCCAGACCGAAAATCAATTGTTATGTGGGTCACTACGTTTAGACAAACTGCAAGTGTGACAAAACGAAGAACTGGAGTCCCTCGGCCCATTAGATCACCTGAGAACATTGAGGCAGTCAGAGCTTCAATGTTGCGATCACCACGGCGTTCTGCGCGCAAACATGCATCTGCCCTTGGACTTTCCAGTCGTTCTGTGCGGAGAATTCTCCATGAAGACTTACATTTCCATCCATACAAGATGGCGACTGTACAGGAACTGTCAAAACGTGACTACGATTCTCGCAGGAACGCATGTGAGATTCTTCTGGATGTCGTTCCTGAGGACGCTATTGTTTTTTTTAGTGATGAAGCACATTTTCACTTGTGTGGATCCGTGAACAAACAAAACATGCGCTACTGGGCTGACACCAATCCTCGAGAATTGCATGAAAGGCCTTTGCATTCACCTAAGGTCACAGTGTGGTGTGCAATTTCCTCAGCTGCAATTATTGGTCCCTGGTTCTTTGAGGAAAATGAAGTCACAGTAACAGTGAATTCGGGCCGGTATGTAAACATGTTACAGGAATTCTTTTTACCCCGGCTGGATGCGTTGGACTTGGGAGACATTTGGTTCCAACAAGACGGTGCAACGGCACACACTGCAAGAGCATCGATGGCTGTTTTGAGAGAACACTTCCCAGAACGCCTTATCTCAATCAGGGGCGATTTGCAGTGGCCGGCCCGATCTCCCGATTTGTCCCCTTGTGACTTTTTTCTATGGGGTTTTTTGAAATCCCGTGTTTATGTGAACCGTCCAAGGACCCTACAAGATTTAAAGAACAACATCCAGGAAGAAATTGCCAACATAACGCCTGCTCTGCTTCAAAGAGTTATGACAAACACCAGAAATCGGTATACTCAATGTATAGAGAATAAGGGACGTCATCTACCTGATTTGATCTTCAAAACTAAATAAAACAAAACTTTAAGTATGTACTTACATTGTAAAAACCAAATAAAATTTTTCCGATTCATACAATGTGTTTTATTAGGTTTTAAAAAAAGGAAGTTATGCTGCCCCACCCTGTACCTGCGTATTTCTGACTATCGACACCGATACATCTCGTCGGCCGATCGAACTCATTTTGTTAGATTACAACTACACGCAATATTATTTATACTCTTCAACATCCAAATGTCCACAAAAATCCGTAAAAGTCCACAGCTGAATACAGGTACCTATGTCTCGTTATATAAGGATTTGGCAATCGCAGTGTACCAGACGTCTAGCACTTTTGACGCTATCCCTTGTCGATAGTTTAGGTACTTTATGTCGAATCTCAATATTACTTATTACTTTTTTAACAGCCTTGTTGGTCTAGAGGTTGAAAGTGCGACTGTTGATCATGTGGTCCTGGATTCCCAGGTTGGATCAAGATCAATTCTCGGTTTTTCTATCAAGAAATTCCCAGTAACTCCACGGAGTCAGCAAGTCAGCAGTATTCCCTCACTCCCATGCTTCCAAAGTCATTTTCCGGCCGTGTCATTATGAGAGTGGAGGAATAGAGAGTGCAGCTGTGCTTGCGCACTCACAATAATTACTAAATAAGATCATCTCGAAGTGTGCATTTCACATGTTATTAGCCCATTACAACAGACTCAGGACAAATATAAAGATAGAACACGCCTTGCGCGTTAATATACTCGTATTTCAGCTTAGTGCTAGCAAGTGTAGCGTATTCACGATAATAAAATACATATACGAGGAAACAATAACAAATATTTTATAGCAACATAATATTATATTTTTGTTTATCAAGGTAACTAAATATTTTTTGTAGATATTCAAGACACAAAGATAATTTATACACTTACGTAGTGGTAATAATCCTAGTTGGTTATTGCTAAGGTCGAGCGCTCGAAGACCAGCACAATCGCCGAGGGTCATCGGGACCTGCGTCAGTCTGTTGTTGGAAGCGTCGAGCTCGGCCAGCGAGCTCATCTTGCCAATCTCCTTCGGCAGCGTTGCCAGCAAGTTGTCCGGCACAAGCAGGACTTGTAGTGGCATTTGACATACTTCCCGCGGTAGCTCTGTCAACTGGTTAGAGCTGTAACAAATAAAATGTATTTACCCAAAAATCCAGAAAACATATTTGGAGTAAAAAGAGGTGTACCTTATTATAAAGTTCGAATGATTTTACAAACAAGCAATTCGAGTTTACTCGCTTTGACGTTTTTATCTTGACATACATCCAATATTTGTGACAAAAGAGACATAATATAAACGTATTCAACGGAGTGCATTTTAATATTTTAGATATTTTTATTGACAAAGTGAATAAACAAAACTTCAAACAAAGTGAATGAATAACAACCGCAACGAAAAGCTTTTACTGCGTTTTATTTTTAACATATTTTTAATTCTTGGCGTTTCGAGTGCTTTACAGCAGCCATTATCACGGGGAAACTAGATATAGACATAAAATTCGTAATATTAGTTTTACTAACGGCTGTATTACAGTCTGAAGGGTATAGAGAGTTAATATAAATATAGGTTATGAGCCATTCCATCTTAGTCCTCAGAGTTGTTATCGCATCTGTAAGCTTCCTCGTTTAGAGTTAGCTGCATGTGTCCGTGGACTGCAGAAGGCACTTAAAACTAGGTGGACTGACTGTAAGTTCGTTTGTCACTTAAGTTTTATATAAAATACTAAAACTGTTGTACACAATGTAGTTACTGCAACATTCAATCTAGTATTTCTTACAAATACCGTCTAGCGTAACCAATACACGAACTCCATTCAACACTTTCATCACTTCCGCGTATTTATAAACTGGACGAAGGGAAACCTACTTCGGCGCGAAGTTCGCATGTAATTAGATCAACCGAAACTGTAAATCGTTCCGCGCCCAGCCTAATAGTGTGTGGGCCCGTGCCAAGAAAACTTGTAAACATCGGCGCCGAGTGTACACCAGATATCTAAGCTTCCTGCATTTTATGCAGTGGAATGACATGGATACTTTCACATTTTGTTGTAACACTACGCCATTTGTATGAGGGAACTAGAGCAGAGTTAATTGGGTGCCCTTTATCGTAATAAATGTTGTTACTTCTCATGCATGTCCATTTCCTACTATTGCAAAAGTCAAGCTTTTCTGTGCAAAAAGGTATTGTGACTTCACTAATGTTTAACATTTAACTATTATACGGTGTAACTATTTCACAAGATGATTGATTTCCGGTCTGAATTTATAGAAAAAAAGGCAATGGTATTTACAACAAACTATTTCATTGTAAGTTGAAACATCCCGAAAATGACAAGTGTGCTTGGAAGATCACCAAGCTTTTATTTTAGAATAACGTAACAGTTATATAACTAGTTCTTAACATTTATGCAACCCTGTTTACAGAAATACATGCAATGCAGTGGTTAGTTCTTTTTACTTTAGAAGGCACTGTCTTATTACAATAAATTCAATACAATAATAATTTATAGTTCACTGATTCACTTGATTACTTATATTAACTTCACACTTATAATCTAGCTCGAAACAGCAATATAACACTCGACACACTAAATTATGTTAGAATCTGTACTTAAGTTATAAAAAAGTTTAGTAGAGATTGTTTATAATATTTTTAAAACAAAAATTATACGGAGCATATGTTTACTGCTTAAATAGCGCCACCTAACCCATTACATTTTCATTTTTTTCATTTTTCGAAACGAATAAAGTTCTCTCGAATGTTACGCATGTAGACTTGCGACTTCTTTTTGCGCTAACCCAATACGGGCCGTCTAGACGCCTAGACGTTGCATTGAAACTGGATTTAATACTACCGGAGATCAGGATTAATAATAGTCTTAGAGTTCATTGAACGGTACATTTAAGTGCTTGATAACAACTTATTAGACAATATTGACTTGCAAACATATTTAAACAAAAACAAACTATAATATGACGTGTATTTGAATTACAGCTTTCTCACGGTATCATAGAAATAAATAGCTTATTAAACGCTTTGCAAGAATGCATAAGACAAGTCTTAGTAACAAATGTCATGAACAACATTTTTATTACGTAGCTTAAAATTTTCGTTCACAATTTAAATAAGTTGTAATCATATTTTAGGAACCATTATAACTCATCAAAAGTCCACTGCAGAACATAGAGGTTTATATTTTTTCATAGAATAAGGATAATAAAAGAGCACACAGTCCACCTGATGGTAAGTGCATGCTACGGCCCATAGACATCTACATTCATCCTCGATTAAGAATCAGAATGCAGATGCGTTTTCACCCTTGAGGACTAAGATGGAACGCCTTGTTCCCAGTAAAATGGGTCCTCGGTACTCTACACTTACACCATACGAAACACAGCAGCATTAAGCTGCTATTTTAAGCTGTTAAATCTATAAGAGCGTGGTCATTCACCGATCGAGGAGGATCAGAAGATGGCTAGCAGCTTCTTCCTAATAAAAAATACTGCGTTTGCCGGTTTCCAATCAGCCTCGAAAGCATAACAACCATAGCAATTTTCTCCCCTATGAGGCAATCTATAAGGGAGGCCTATGTTTAGCAGTGGACTTTTGAAGGTATGTTAAGCTGGAATGGTCATTTGGGAAAAATCACTTAAATTTTTGCTAAATATTTAGTGCTCATTTAGTGCTAATTTAGTGCTGCAAATTTAAATTTCACGCCAAAATAGCTTGATCAAATATGAGAAAACTGCTAGCTTTTAATTAAGCTAGCAGTGTTCTACCTATTAATACGATAACCGCTTAATACAGCACCAAATAGAAGCATCAATAATTTAGTGCTCATTTAGTGCTGCCGATGTACGCAAAAACAAATATTGGGAAAATATATTTTTTTTAATATCATAAATTCTGCTACTTTGACATCTTTAGCAGAGTATGTAATGAACAAATTGACATTCAAATGGATTATCGTCTAATGATATGAGAAAATAATTTAGTGCTCATTATGTGCTGCCGATATATGCAAAAACAAAACTTGGAAAAATATTTTTTTTTAATATCATAAACTCTGCTACTTTGACATCTTTAGTAGAGTATAATGAAAAAATTACATCAGAGTGGGCTATCACATAATGATATAAGATAATAAATTAGTGCTCATTTAGTGCTGTCGATATACGGAAAAGGATTTGGAAATTATTATTTTTAAATACCGTTAACTGCTACTTTGACATCTTTAGCAGAGTATGTGATGATACATTGACATCCAAGTGAGTTATCATCTAATGATGTACGATAATAATTTAGTGCTCATTGAGTGCTGCCGATATACGCAAAAACAAAACTTGGGAAAATATATTTTTTTTATATTTCCATAAACTCTGCTACTTTGACATCTTTAGCAGAGTATGTAATGAAAAAATTGACATCAGAGTGGGCTATCACATAATGATATAAGATAATAAATCAGTGCTCATTTAGTGCTGTCGATATACGGAAATCGATTTGGGAAATTATTATTTTTAAATACCGTAAACTGCTTCTTTGACATCTTTAACATAGTATGTAATGAACAAATTGACATTCAAGTGGATTATCACCTAATGATATGAGATAATCATTTAGTGCTCATTTAGTGCTGCGGATATACGCGAAAACAAAACTTGGGAAAATATATTTTTTTAATATCATACACTCTGCTACTTTGACATCTTTAGCAGAGGATAATGAAAAAAATTAGATCAGAGTGGGCTATCACATAATGATATAAGATAATAAATTAGTGTTCATTTAGTGCTGTCGATATACGGAAAAGGATTTGGGAAATTATTATTTTTATCACCTAATGACCTACCACCTATACAGTATATAACCTATACATACGATAATAATTTAGTGCTCATTGAGTGCTGCCGATATATGCAAAAACAAAACTTGGGAAAATATTTTTTTTTATTTCCATAAACTCAGCTACTTTGACATCTTTAGCAGAGTATGTAATGAAAAAATTGACATTAGAGTGGGCTATCACATAATGATATAAGATAATAAATTAGTGCTCATTTAGTGCTGTCGATATACGAAAAAGGATTTGGGAAATTTAGATGTCAATTTTTTCAGTACATACGCTGCTAAATATGCCAAGGTCTGCTACCTTTTTTAGCAGCGTACTTTACGGTACTTAAAAAAAATTATATCTCAAATCCTTTTTCATATATCGACAGCATTAAACGAGTACTAATTTATTATCTTATATCATTAAGTGATAATTCACTTGGATGTCATTGTTTCATCACATACTCTGCTAAAGATGTCAAAGTAGCAGTTAACGGTATTTAAAAATAATAATTTCTCAAATCCTTTTTCGTAATTCGACAGCACTAAATGAGCACTAATTTATTATCTTATATAATTAGGTGATAGCCCACTCTGGTGTCAATTTTTTCATTACATACTGTGCTAAAGACGTCGAAGTAGCAGAATTTATGATATTAAAAAAATACATATTTTCCCAATATTTGATTTTTCGTATATCGGCAGCACTAAATGAGCACTAAATTATTATCTCATATCATTAGTTGATAATCCACTTGGATGTCAGTTTTTTCTTTACATACTCTGCTAAAGATATCAAAGTAGCAGAATTTATGATATTAAAAAAATATATATTTTCCCAATATTTGTTTTTGCGTATATCGGCAGCACTAAATGAGCACTAAATTATTGATGTTTCTATTTGGTGCTGTATTAAGCGGTTATCGTTTTAATAGGTAGAACACTGCTAGCTTAATTAAAAGCTAGCAGTTTTCTAATTTTTGCTCAAGCTAATTTTGGCGTGAAATTTAAATTTGCAGCACTAAATTAGCACTAAATGAGCACTAAATATTTAGCAAAAATTTAAGTGATTTTGCTCAAATGACCATTCCAGCTTAACAGACCTGACTTTTGATAGGCTGTAACGGATATATTTATGTATGTGTGTGTATGCGAACACCAAAAATATCGTGACTTTTGTACTTTTGAACAATAAAATCTTTGTTTATGTATCTAAAGCGTTTTTTTTTTCAATCAACTTTCAAATCAGGGACCGCATTCTGCCCCACCATGTATTAAAGATGTTAA